GGTACCTACTATAGATATAACTCATATAAGTAGATATAATCTGACGTAATACCTAGGTTCATCCGAAGTCTGAACCTGAAACAGTTGTATTATAGAAGCGTAGAATATTTAATGATTACTTATAAATATATAAATACATTGTCAATTAACCCAATAATACATCATTTTATGATTGTCGTATTACAATCACTACTTAGTTTACACCTATTGTTGGTTTACTTCTCGGCCGAAATCATTTTTAAAACTACAGTTCAGTGTTCACTGTATTAAGATATTATGGTTGAAATAAGTAAGAGCTGAAAAGTTACACTAAAAGTCTAAAAACCTTGGACAATAATCAAGGCTGGGCATTAACGAGTTAATAAGTTAAAGTTAAGTTAAAAAGTTAAGTTACTTTTAACTAAGTTAAATAACGAGTTACTTTTTTTTAAAAAAGTAACTTCTAACTTAACGATTTACATTTTTCCCCATGTTATTCAGTAACTTAACGAGTTAATTAATTGTATTGGCACGTTAAGTTAATTTTTTCCCAAACCACATATTATTTAAAATTAATTCAATTTTGTAAAATTAATTACATAAAAAAAACCCGAAATATTAAATATATTTTATTAAATAATAATTTATAATAATAGTAAGTTTTTATATTGCATATTCACAGAAAATATTTTATAACTATATTATAGAGGGAAATATCATAGGGGTAACCGCGTCAAAGAAAAATATAACAATTTACTCAGTACCTAACCTATACCTAATCATTATTAATATCATTACTTATTATTATATTTTTATTCATTCATAGAATTACGATGATAACTTGGCCCGTCGATGTAAATAATACCCGTAGTAGTGTGGTATTTACTATTTACCTAATTAAAGTATAATACACAAAATTAATATAAGTACCTACAGTAACTAATTTTATTACAAACATTTATTCAAATATTGTAAGACATTTTTTGATTTACTGAATTATTATGTTATTTGTTAGCTTTAAAAAAGGTAGGTAGGTAGGTATAATTGTTAATTTTATTTAAAAAAAAAAAGTAACTTATTTTTAACTAAGTTAAGTTACTTTTATTTTCTAATTAACTTGTAACTTTTACAAGTTAAAAAAAAATGAAGTTAACTTTTAACTTTAAGCTTAACTTACATTTTTCTATATTAACTTAACTTAACGAGTTAAAAAAAATAGTTAACTTGCCCAGCCTTGACAATAATAATATATTAAATTATTATGTTTAATATTATATTATATAAGCTTGGTATGAAGTATTCATATAAGTATATAACTACAGAAAAAACCCACGGCGGTAGGGTAAGTACATGCTATTTAATTGTATAAATAGTAAATACTAAGGTGAGCTCATTATTGCGGTATTACTTATATACCGCATTAAAATATAATATACAAGAATAATATTATAGTATAAAAAAAAATTGTCTAGCTTCTTACTCTGAGACCTAATATAAAGTGTAGTTATAGGTTTCTTAGTTTCTAAACATATGTTTACGTGTTGTATCTATCAGTACCTATATAATATGATTTACAAATTACAAGTGTTGATATATTATATTGTTGATTTTTATTTATTTACTATTCGTAGTTACTGTACATAAATTGTATAATATATGGAGTTATAATTTATTGCGTTGTATTAAAATACGTTTAGAAACCAGAAATTTAGCACGTTCGCAGAGTGAGCTTTACTCACTGCGGTACCCACATACAATCACACTCACACTAATCATCATTGACAACTAACACAAATGCCATTGGCGGCGGCAACAAAATTGCATATTGCCTAAATATTGCCCCTTATTAACGACACACGAGCATGCCCCATAAGGCCCCTGCAAACCTGTCATTTTTAAGGAGTTGTGTTTAGGCAATTATTTCGTTCCTGCGATTACTGATCGTCTTTGTGTGTGTAGTAAATGATCATTAGTGTGTGTATACTCCCCTACCATCACCCGTGACCCACATCAATTTACAATACATTGTTATTTCTTATCTGGTTTATGGTCGCACGCACGCACATGCACAAGTCAATGAATGTCTAGATCAAAATATTCAAAACCAATATATGGACTTGAAATAGCCGTCGCACTGACAAAAATTAAGGTACATCTTGTGGTTCGATTTAAAAAATGTAAAGATGTTTGTGTTGGTAAACAAGTTTACTTTGCATCGGTCGGAGCACTTTTTCAATTTTAGAAAATTCTTGACGAGAATAAATATTTTACATTTTATACATTTATAAATGTTTAGTCTATATATATAAAAATGAATGTATGTCAGTGTGTCAGTGTGTCTGTGTGTCTGTGTGTCCATGTTACCATGGTTACCAAGGTTGCCATGGTTACTAAGGTTACCAAGATTTCATATCAATCTATATATATAAAAATGAATGTATGTCAGTGTGTGTGTGTGTGTGTGTGTGTGTGTGTCCATATTACCATGGCAACCATATCTGTATATAAAAAACAGTAAGCTGATTGACTGCTATCAACGCACAGCTCAAACCATTGGACGGATCTGGCTGAAATTTGGCATACAGATAGCTATTATAATATAGACGTGCGCTAAGAAAGGATTTGCCAAAATTCGCATTTTAAATAGGTGCTGAAACAGGGACATTGAGATTCACGATAGAAATTGGAAATTTTATTTTTATTTATTTATAGTTGCCATTGGTTACAGTCTACATTAGAAATTAGCATTTATTTATTGGTTGCCATTGGTTATTCGGGCAGATCAGGTACAAGCTTGCATCAAATCGAATTATTGAACAATGCTTACCAGGGTGGCAGAGTTGCACTTACCGCAGAAAATTACACCCAAAAGGAGTTCAACAATCATAATTTTTTTAAGAGTTGCGATTTTTTACGAGCAACCAAATTTATTATATTAATCCACAGTATTACATCAAAATAAACTTGGTATAACTTTGATACTTTAGAGTTAAATCATACACTTCCGTACAAACTACACGGGGTCCGCGATCTACCGCAGGTAGATTGCCTACCTGATAATGTACTGCTGCGATTCAGAATTTTTATTCAGGGCAACGGGAAAGATAAGATAAATTTTGAACACCATACACGTTAATGAATTGAACAAAGTTTGAGTAGGTAGTATTGAGTTGATCCATTTAACGGGCGACGAAGTGCACGGGATCAGCTAGTATTGAATATATTCAAAAATATCTAAAATATAAAAAATATGCTCCGACCGATGCAAAATAGACTTGTTGACCAATCAAAACATCTTTACATTTTTTAAATCGAACCACTAGAAGTACTTTAATTTTTGTCAGTCGCTAAGGTTGTTTTGATGAAAAATTAATAGGGTTTACAGGGGCCGGCAACGAATTTATTGATATTAATTATTATTGGTTGCTAGTTATTAGGCACTACAATGCTAGATTATAATGTTATAATATTAATTTCATCTTTTTTATCGTTTGTTTGTCATGGCAATTGCAACAACTGTCAGAAAAAAATATTATATATACAAGCCAAATACCACTCACTTAGTCATCTCTACATCTCAAAAACTACATAACATACGAACTTGAAATTTGGAATAGTGGGTTATCTAATGATTTAGGTGTGCAATAAGAAAGGATTTCCGGGACATTCACATATTTTTAAAGAGGTGGTCAAACAGGGATCTTGAGATTTGCGGAAATCGAAACTTTTTTTTCTATATATTGGTTGCCATTGGTTGATCGGCCAGATCAGTTACTAGCATGCATCAATAAATCGTCACGTTTACATGGTTTTGATTAAAGAAACTATATCTTAATACCAAATTATGTAGTTTACATACTCAAAAACTTTTAAATTGAATTTAAATAAAATCTCAGAGATTGATAAATGATAATATAAGAAGAGTTTAGAGAGTATAAATAGTTTAAACCGCGTTAAAAAATATACCAAGTACTAAATCCAATCCACGACTAGCGGTTGTCCATCTAGTTCAAATTATTTCACAAAACTAGGTACACTGACGCCGATTTCTATGTGAACTGAAATACACTAAAACTGAGATAGGTACACTCATTCCGAGATATTCACCTATTTAGCTACTTTATAGGATTTTCCACAAAACCGCACATGGGCGAAGCCGGGATATTCAGCTAGTATATATTATATTTGTTATATAAATGTATAAATATATTTATTAAAACATATGGTTTTCGGTTGGATATACCTAAATTGTTTTTCTGACTTTTAAAGTTGCAATTTCAACCCAACAACAATAATAGGTACCTATTGATATATTATTATATAATTATATCTAAATCGTTATTCGGTTATATATTTCCTGTTACAATTGCGATGATAACTAGACATTAACATATTAAATTTAAATAGTATAGGTATTTGGCGTGATAACCGCAATGATAAACCAATATGAACACGACATAAACCGTAAGTATACACGGAAAAACATCGATTCATAAAAAATAAAAATGGGCCTCAAATAAAAGAGACCATCATAAACATATTTATATATTATATGCATATTACATATTATTATAATATAATATATGCCTATAGGTATACCTATATAAGATGATTCAATGCTCTTCCGTTTGAGAAAATATCAAGCTTATAATAATATACGTTTTGGATTAACATTTGGTGGGTCCAACTGACCAAGTCCTAAATTTTATTTCTAAAACAAAATACTCCATTAACAAAGAAAAATTGTTAAAATAACCAGCTATTCTACGTGTTGGCTTCTGGCGGTATGCGGATATCAGAGTGATCGAGCTCAAGTGAGTTTTTCCAGTTTTTTTTTTCGTGGAGAGAGACCCGAAACTGGACTAAAAAACCTATGACATTATTCAATGACGAAAAAAAACCACCCGAACAACGCAGATCGCGCTAGCGCCGGCCCCGTTCGGTATTGTATATTATTTTTTTCATTACGTTACGCAGCGGCACGTGCGACTGTGCAGTGTGCTCCGCGACCAGTCCGCACGATGACTCGGCCGATGCATCACGTCGTCCGTCGGCGCCGCGTTGACGCCGTTTTACGGAAGACTATGGTGCTGCTACTTTTGTTGTTGGTGTTCTCCTTGTCGTCGTTCACATCGGCCGCCGCCGAGTGCCCGGCCAAATGCATGTGCTTCAAGACGACTGTCCGCTGCATGTTCCTGCATCTGGACCGGATACCCGACCGCATATCTCCGGCTACCACCGTGCTGTAAGTGTCTATATACCGAAGATAATACCAAAATTAAAATGTCGAGTTTAAAAATATGCTTAGTACCTAATTTAATTTGCCCAAGTCTTGCAAAATTCTGACGTTTCAATCATTGTGTTATTATTTTCCAGTGGCTAAATATGTGGATCAAGGGGGGGGGCAAATTTTCCGTTTTGTTATTCAATGCCATTTAAATTGTATTTAAATAGGAACTATATTGTTGTTTGATGATTGGTACCTATTGAAAATTAAATTATATTCAATAAATCTTAACCCATAATAAATAACATTTAATAAAAATATGCCCCTCTTCTCCGTTACCGAAAACTGTGCTCAAATACTTCACTGTGTTATGATCCTATGGATATGTTATCGAGTGACGTATATGCCTTTTAGAGATTACAAAAAATATCCTAAACGTTTAAACTAATAAGTCTTAACAATAGACTAATAGAGTCCAAGAGTATCGTTTTATTTTAACGGAGCAAATGCGTTATTATCGTTAGAAATTTGACAAGGGTAGAGTCTTGAAGGATTTTGTCATTACCATAGCAGCTGAGAAAGAAACTAAATTATAACTTGACCGCAATCACAGTTTTATTATAAAGGAAGGGAATAAATCGCGGGAATGATGTAATTACTTTATTACCTATACCATCCCTCGCATTCACAATCAGCACTCGACGATACCTCGAAGTTGTTGAAAAAAAATTGATGAAAGATAAATTAAATTATGGTTAATTTAGAATTATAGGTAGATAAAAGTCTTGAGAAGTTAATAGTTATAAAGCAAAACGTTTTAAAGTCATTAAGGTTAAAGTTTTAAACCAAGAGGTCTTTTATATCTGGATCTTGCATAGATTTTTATTTTTACAAACGTAAATCAATTGAATTATAAAACTGTACTCTACTAACCGTTTTAACATAAATATCTTGAATATAACATGTAAAGTACATACCTACTTTCATTTACATAAAATAATATTATGGGTAATTAAATGCATTTTGTATTTTGTAGGAATGTCCCTGAACACTTCAATCTTTTGTTCGTTAGACGTATATATTATTATGTTTATATACTGACAATTGAAATTATTTAGGTTAGGTTGGGGGATCTATATTTAGACGTTATTTGGGGATGTTCTGTGGCCGTCATTATTTCAAATCCGGTTAGGCAGAAGTATAGAATTCCAGTTTTCTGACCGGACGAAAACAATTGTTCATATTCAGCATCCATTTTGTAGTTTTGTAAACATTAAAAATTTATATCCACTTGAAACAAATAATATGCAAACCTAAATATACGCAGTTGTTTGAACATTTGTTCAAGTATTCGTATAACAGGCTGCAATAGGGCTACAAATTTCATGGTTTTTATCAACTTTGTGTAAAAAATCAAGTACCTTCAAAATTCTTTTCATATTATTCGTGTATAAACGAAAATTTACTCACCATATTTTACAAAATATAGGCATAATAATACTGCGTATCCTCATCAAATTTTATTGACATTTTATGTCTTTGCTTTGGCACATAAAATCGAAATCGAAAAACGTTACGTTAGGAAAAAAATCGCAAAATATAATTTTTCTAATAATAATAATTATATTGTTGTAATTAAATTAAATTTGTTTCTGGTATATTTTTAAGTTGTTGATATAAATTATATTGTACATAATTGAAATTTCGTACCAGTTGTTTCTTAATTTTTGAATTTTGTGTTCTGTGGATGATAGTCTACGATAAAAGGTTCATAGATATTTTTTAATAGTGTAGTACCTAGTGACAGGTGCCCCAAAGGGTTTAGTTTTTAAAATATTAAATATTTGTATGAATAAAAAATGTTTTTCTTCTTTTAACATTTTTCTAGTAACAATCAAGATTAAAGATGTTTCATATTATGAAGATTAAATTTCCAGTGAGTTTAATGATATCATGGGGTATAAGATCAATATAGGTTAAAATCAATCAAGTCTTCTGAAATGTCCAAGAAAAGAGTTTTATCGTTTAAATCTATTTATTATTGTATTATAATTATCAATAAGTTATTGATGATCATTGTATAAATTATAATTAGAAAAGTCTGTATTATTTATTTTATGTTTCTTATTGTAATTATTGGTCAGTTAATAGTATACGATGATTAATTTTAAATAAATTGGCAACTGTGATAAGCCATCAAAATTTTTTACTTTGATGAACTTTTATTTCAATAATAATTTGTTTGGCTTTTGTATTATTCTTCGATTGTTATTGACGATGTTGTCAGATAGAGCTTGTCGATTTATTACGTAGGTGCTGTTATAAATTATAATAATTTAAATTTCTAAAAATTGCAGAATAATACTTCAAATTTTAAAGGTTAAACAATACAATTGTACAAATATAAATAGTATTAATAAGATAACGTCAAACGTTATCTCGTCAAATATATATTCTTAATAAATATATATTTTAATCTTGTTAGTTAATATTATTTTGTTTTTTAATTAATTAACTAAAAATGCACATTTTGTTATTATAATGCAACGAATGCAAGAGTGTTATAACAGATTAATAATGCATTATATTATTTTCGTACCATTCATTATTACAAACGTGTTATATTTTTTTATTGCTTCTCGAATAGGCTTCGAATATATATTTTATCGTTTTACATTTCAATACTAATGTGTAAGCAGTTTTTTTTTGTTTTCTTGTTACCAAAGGCTATATACATAAACATACTTCTACAACGTTCAAAAAATATTTTAATTACAATTGATTTAAAATATTTTATCACCAATAATTTTTGCATTGTTTTCAATTTATTATTTTTCAGAAACTTTTTAAAATAGTATGAACTTACCTAACCTATGTAGGTAGTAGGTATACGATGCTTATTGTGACGTCATAAAACACTGTATATCGATTTAAAATATTATATTATTTTACTAGCTGTGCGTTATCTATACATGATTACCTACCTACCTATTTATTATGAACAGTGAACACCTATATTTTTTGTCGATACGCATGGATAGAACCATAATATAATATATTATAGTATTATAATTATATTCTTATAAACAATTACAATGAAAAATAGGCACTGAGATTTTTATAATTTCACACGTTTTCAATACACATCTTGATGATTTATTTCAATTAATTTTAGCTGATTGAATACTTTAGGTTAAACCTTATTTTTATTCAAGTAAAATCAAATTATGAGGATTATTGTATAAATTGTCAAGCATTATGTACTTACTTTAAAACTAAAGATTTTAAGTACCTATTGAAAACAGATTTTAACATATTTAGTATATAATTTGTTGAAGATAATCTTATAAATAACTTTTTCCTCCACATATTTATCTAAAAAACTTTCATCTATGGTTGCCGAATAAAGAAAGATGTATACTAAGTGTTTACATTTTTAAAGTCGAATTTTGATAATTCAGTTAGTGAATGACCAAATTTGTTTAAAAGTTGTTAGTAGGATTTAAATAAGATAAGACGAGGAATCCAAACTTGTTTTTAAAATCAATAATGTGCAATCTAGATCAATATTACATAATTCAATAAGTATAATAGTACGCATGTTGAATTAAAATGTCTAGATACCTATTAAATAAAAGTTCACTTAGAATACATACAATCGTAATTTTTAAATCCTACCACTGGGTGGTAATTGTCTTATTCTCTTAGTGGCAATTAACCAAAATATTATGTCTTCACAATTTAAAACCACAATGAGAAATAACATAAAATGCATGTTGGAAATTCAAACTTTGAGTATGATATATATTTTAGCCGACAGCCTTATATAGGTGGGTGCGTACCTATACAATTTATTATTATTTTCCGCTCGGATGTGTGAAATTAGTAAATATAGGCTTAGTGACGCATAAAAATAATACCTAACTCACAAGACCCATAATAATCTCTTATTTTAAGCACAACGTTTATGAAATTGTAGTATTTTTTTATCAATATATAGTAGACATTATATAATATTTTTTACAGTTTTTGTTGCATGTAGATTATACAACATACACATTATTATAATGAATATAACGAGTGAAAATCGGAATGAGAATGATTATGTTGTTTTTATCATTATTTTTCAAAGTCTGAGTATAATGTGTATACATTATACTGTGGTTTATGTTTGTACATCAAGATTAAAAGTATACAAAGAACATCTGGAATAATAATATATACGAGGTGTATATATTATGTCTCGAAAAGTACTTAATTTACATAAATATAGTGATTATTCTTGGCATCTTTGGATCAATCGTCCTAATTGTACAGATTTGAAATTAAGAGTTTACGAAGAATGATTAGTAGGACCTATAGTCAGTACCCGTTTCATAATATATATAGGTATATTAGGTATTAATGTATTATATTATATACTGATTATTGATTATCGGAATCCAGCTACAATATATATTAGAATGTATTAATATCAATTCATACATCGGACCAGTGATTATAAATACTATATAATTTATAATACATTTATAATCAATGATCGGACCTATTGGACCAATGTCCAATCTACAATACTGTATTATTATAAAATAAAGCTCAATTAGAAATAATAGTAATACAATGAAACTAAAAGATAAAAAGAATAATAACACAATTCTTATATGTATGTAGATAGACACAATGAGATTAGAGAGAACAGATTTTAAGTAATATTAATATAAATATATTAGGTAAAATATATGTGTAAATAATGAGTGTTTTAAACAGAAATTGGTTGTTAATAACTAGAAAGTGTTAAATTAAAAAATTATTTAAGGCCTAAAAGGTTTTTAAACTGGTTTTTGAAACTGAATTTATTGTTTTTCTGATTTTCAATCTATAACATTAGTAAAATTATGTGTAAAACGTGTAAATCTACAATGTAATAACAGAAGTCGAGAGTATAGGTATACTTATCTATTTAATAATCATATTTTATGATAATTTTTTCTGTTACGTATAAAGTATATACAATCATT